GGGCTTTATGGGCTCGCTGCAATGTACAAAGCAAAGACACGCAAAACCTCAAGAATGCAATACGTAAGTAGTGAAAGGGGTCGTGCTTCTTCCCGTATTTGTGTGGCTGGATCAAGCGAGAATTTCATGCAAGCGGAAAGATTTTATATATCCGTTTATTGATAGAGATACGACACGTGCATACATGCAGATAGATATACGAGTACACATGCTTACATATTCGAACAAGTACGAATCTCTCTCTCTCTCTCTCTCTCTCTCTCTCTCTCTCTCTCTCTCTCTCTCTCTCTCTCTCTCTCTCTCTCTCTCTCTCTCTCAGGAGATGCCTCGCCTGGGAGGGGAGGGGGTGTGCCCTTCCCTTTGTACCGCCCTCTTTTAAAGTGTTACGGGCTTTGTCTAATGCGATTGGTTCTACAGATGATAATTTCGCTCGTAAGAATAATAACTAACAAGTTCATACTTTATTTGCATATCAGGACAAAGAACCACGCATGTTACTTTACTTACTATTTTTTCTCAATTATTTTCTTTTTCTGGGACTTCGGTAAGACGCAAATTTCAGTACTGATTTTTTTGTTGATATCAAATCAATTACGTTGGAGTTTATCATCAAACAAAAATAATTCGTTATTTAAATACGGGAAGGGGATCCATGGACTACTTACAACACGTACTATAAACTCCACGCTTTGCCTATTGCACAAACTACTTACTTCACGAATTACAAGTTCTACTTACTCCAAGGACTATCTTTTCCACGAACTACTTACAACACGTACTTCTATGTTTTGCTTAGTGCACGTATAATCTACTCCACGAACTCCTTACAACATCTATTAATCCTCGAACTACGTCTTCCTCTACACGAGACAACTGCGTCGGAGTATCGTCTCCGCTACACAGGCCAATTACATTAGGTACTTACCCCCCCCCCCTCCAAGTACTAAAGAATAGCATTTGTTATTAAAGAAAATTCCGATTGTAAGATGCAAGATGTAAGAGAATTTACTAAACAGCACTGCTATTTATCGAAGGAGGACGGACATTACTGTTGTTGCCATTATAATAAACGTAATTTAATTGCATAGGCTCAAATGCGTAAATTCTAATAAGTCTCAAATGGTTCATACAGATACTTTTTTGTCGTCTTGCAAGCCTGTTACATCAGTACCTAATGATCATAAATGTATATATATATATATATATATATATATATATATATATATATATATAGATAGATAGATAGATAGATAGATAGATAGTTAGATAGATAGATTACATATATATATATTCATATATATATATATGTGTGTCTATATATATATTATATATATATGTTTATATATATATATATATATATATATATATATATATAATAATAATAGATTAGAGAACAAAATAACTAATTTTCAACTGAACATCAGCGAAAAACAACAACAACACTTTCGCAAACCAGTTTTTATATCATTTTCAGGTCTTCGGACCGCTACCTAACCCCCGGCCCATCCCCGCCCCCTTCCCTCCCAGCATAGCCTCTTTACTAGCGCGCGACCTGGAACCGCCGAGTCACTATGAAAGAGGCAAGAGCGAGGAGCGGCGGCCGAGGGAGCTGACGCCCACGAGTTTGAGACGATCTTCATCTCCTCTTGGGAATGAAGATTTTGTTTACGGGTGTCAATTTTCAGTTTACGCGTGAGATTATCGAACCAAGGAAAAATAAAAAAAAATCCTCAACCACCCTAAAAAAAAAAAGACGAAATATAGGAATACAGAAAGATAAGAAAAAAATACATAAACTTTTATTCATCACTGAACTGTAAAGGAAACTCAATTTAGATATATTCCTCGACAGCAAATATCCTAATATCCAACCAGCGTGATTTACCTGAAACCGGTTTTGTGTGGTTACAAGAGAGCATTCACTGCTGAACCCAAGTTTTTTTTTTTCCTTCGCCGTCTAAAAATATTTTAACTAACCTTGGCTGCAATTTCTTTTTCCTGCAATATGAAAGTGAAATCATTAAACTGCATTAAAAACGGGGACTTGATTTGATGTACAAAACTGCATATGCTATTCATTAACTTTTATCTTAAAAGGGACAAAAACATGCATATTACCTAAAATAAATATATAAGTAAGCAAAAAAAAAAAAAATAAATAAATAAAAAAAATATTAAATAAATAAAAGGATAGTAGTAAAAATCAGAATAGTATCAATACCTAAATACGTATTTTTTGTATAGTTCTTTACAGGCATAGTTGTGAAAACTTTGCTAGAACAGGATACGACGAAAATGAAACTGGGTTGTGGGATTGTGGAACAGAAGAAAAAGAGAAAAGCAAAAAACATTACTCCGGTGGATAATGGGCTAGTGAGATCCTTAAAATCTATATATAGAATATGGATATGCTCAGTCTTTTAGTCCGTGAAATGGAGAGACAGGAGAGAGAGAGAGAAAAGGAGAGAGAGAGAGAGAGGGAGGGAGGGAGAGAGGGAGAGAGAGAGAGAGAGAGAGAGAGAGAGAGAGAGAGAGAGAGAGAGAGAGAGAGAGAGAGAGAGAGAGAGAGAGATTGAGAGAGAGAGATAAAGACAGAGATAGAGACAGGATGAAAGAGAAAGACATAAAAACAAAACGAAAGAGTTAGCGGTGGAAGAACACAGCCAACAAAAGAAGAACACGAAACAAGATAAATAAGTTCATCGACCTTTTCACGTCTCGACCAAGGAACAATGACGGAACAAAACACTTCTCGAGACTAGAGATGGAGATGGAATGAAAGGAGAATGGAACAGGGGAAAGTAGAAAGTGAAGCAGAAGAAATGAAAAGGAAGAAACAGAAGAAAAGAAAGAGCGCGCGTGTGTATGTGTGTGTGTGTGTGGGAGAGGGAGAGAGAGAAGAGAGAAGAGAGAGAGAGAGAGAGAGAGAGAGAGAGAGAGAGAGAGAGAGAGAGAGAGAGAGAGAGAGAGAGAGAGAGAGAGAGAGAGAGAGAGAGAGAGAGAGAGCGCGAGAGAGAGCGAGAGAGAGAGAGAGCGAGAGAGGGAGATAGGAGAGAGAGAGAGAGAGAGAGAGAGAGAGAGAGAGAGAGAGAGAGAGAGAGAGAGAGAGAGAGAGAGAATGAGAGAGAGAGAGAATGAGAGAGAGAGAGAGAGAGAGAGAGAGAGAGAGAGAGAGAGAGAGAGAGAGAATGGAGATAGTAAAGCCTGATGGATCAGTTGCAACCTCCAGCAGAGAGAAGGCTGAACTTCTGGATTCGCTCTTCGAAAAGATGAGAGTACATGACCCTGACCGACCTTCTCCTAGTCTGCCTCTCGTGACTCACTCGAAGCTCAGTTCCTTCGTGATCACTGAAGCAGAAATCAGGCAGCATCTGAATGAGGTTGATGTCCATAAGGACATAGGACCCGATAAAGTCAGTCTTCACACACTTAACAGGTGTG